ATTATTAATTCAATTATGAACAAACTCATTCACATTACATAACAACATAACCCAACTTTTCTTTGACAACATGAAACAACGTTGCCACATTTCATTTATTCAGGCTTGCGCATTCAACCGACGTAACTTTATTATTTTTTGAATTCGAGAACGGCTGGACCGATCTTGAATTTAATACCACGTATCTCTATATAAGCCGAATTCGATTGACCTAGATTAGATCGATTTGGGTTCAATTTAAGTGAACTTCTTCTGATCTAAATCATTTTTTTGTTGATGAGGGTGCACTGATCCAACCTCAATCGAACAACAAGAGCTTGGTGGGAGCCCCAAAACAATTCAAAAAGGTTAAAGGAAGGAGTGCTGCGTTGCCAAATTGACGTCAAAGTATTTTATTTTGTTTTGGTTAGATTTTCCTAACAGGTGCGGACAATGTTTATTGTTCGACAAGTGACGAAAACAGCAGTTTTTAAAATATGTACGTAATGCTTTCAAGTTGCAGAAAATGATTTTTGACTGAAGTTGTTTATTTTTCAATGGTCAGAAAAAAAGTTTTTTGCAGATGCTAGTTTGATAGCGCAATGAAAATTTTGGATTTTGTTGGAATTTTCGACATTTTTATACAATTATTATCAAAACCCAAGAATCGTGAACAGGATTGCTCATCCTAATAAGGCGTACGTTCACTTTCTTGAGTACACAAGGTCTGAGAGTGACGTCACCACACCAGCTAATAGTGATGACGTCACCCGCAGACCTCGATGGAACGCTTGCGATTCAGGTTGAGCACGTAATTTGAATTTTGCGTCGATTTTAAATTTAGAAAAGGTGACTTAAACAAGATTTTAATGTACCGGAATTCTTTTTTTCGAACTATACTATAGTGCTTTGAACTTGAATAATGCATTTTACTCCAAGAGTTGAGATCTGCGGCTGACATGGCAGTTGGCAAGGAAATGTCCTATGACGCTCGAGAAGCGGCAAGTGCGCGGAAATGTCGGTGTATGTTGGTCTTGAAACGCTTCAGGTTGTAACCTGCAGGGAAAACCGTCGCAGGGAGTTTATTCCACAGCGACGCTGTTCTCCAGAGATATGAATTCTGATATAATGAGGTTCTTGGTGCCTCTAGTTTGACAGTAAATTCATGGTTACCGTCTGTTTGACGGGTTCGCCTGGTAGGTGCTACTCTCGGTGGAATCATACGTGCCAACTCTTCAGAGCATTTTCCGTGATAGTACCTGTAGAAGAGAGATAAATCACCCACAGATCTGCGATGTTCGAGACCATCCAAGTTACGAGTAAGTGCGGGGTCATTGATCAGCTTGATAGCTCGTTTCTGCACGGTGTTCAAAAGCATTAAGGTATGTTTGGGTGCTGCACTCCATATATGTGAGCAGTATTCCATAGTTGGTCGAATCTGGGCTTTGTAGAGTGTCAGCAATTGGCTTGGTGTGTACAGATGTCTTGTACGAAATAGCACCCCCAGCTTTTGGGACGCCCTTTTAGCAATATCTGCCACGTGACTGTGCCAAGACATGTTGGTCTCTGCAGTAACCCCCAAGATGTTCAAATGACTCTGTAATGTGACAGCACTTCCAGATAGCATGATGTTTGGCTCACCGGTGCTGGTCTTTTTTGAAAACAGAGCTGCTTGGGTTTTCTGCGCGTTGAACTTTACAAGGTTTTTGTTACCCCAGTCCTCTATTATCTCCAGGTCGTTATTTATCTGCGATATTTGAGTTAGTCTAAGATGATGGAATTCACGTGCGGAAAGACCTGTGGGTGGTGTGAGTGAGGAGACTACATTGCCATCGTCTGCAAAGCAATAAAGTGGATTTACTGTTTTATCTATGAGGTCATTTATGTAAATCAGAAAAAGAGTTGGCGAACGGATTGCTCCCTGTGGCACACCAGCATTTATTTGGTAAGAGTTGGAGTTCTGGCCATCCAGTGCAACATAAATGATAAAAATGATAATGATGATGATAAAAGAACCAGTTTATTTCAATTTCAATTTCAATTTATTCAATAATAGTTAACAGTTTCATGATTATAAACATAATAATGTACTTAAAACTATTTAATTATATGAGGCAAAAAAAAAAAAAAATGGATCTGTCCTTTAGGTAACTTTCAAACTAAGTGCAAAGTTCCGGCGATAATCCCATTGCTTTGAGCTTGTTGAGCAGATTTTCATGCCAAACTTTGTCGAATGCTTTAGATATATCTAAGGCAATTGTTCTTGTTTCACCCCGCAACTCAATTGCTTTTTGCCATAAGTGAGTGACGTATGTAAGTAAATCGCCAGTTGACCTATATTTTCGAAATCCGTATTGCTTATCGTTGATAATTTTGTACTTTTCCAAGTACTTGGTTAGGTGATTGTTCACAACTCTTTCCATTACTTTTGATATCACCGGAAGTAGAGCAATTGGTCTATAGTTTAACGGATCTGTCTTTTTTCCTTTCTTTGGAATGGGTTGTACTGCGGCAGACTTCCATGATGATGGATATACTCCTTGCCTGTAAGACAAATTGAATAATTTTGCGAAAGTTGGGGTAAGTTCGTTGGCGCAATTTTTGAGTACTATTGCGGGAATGCCATCCGGACCCATTGCTTTGTTTGTATCCAGCTTTTTAAGGGACTTTCGTATTTCTCTGTGACAAAAGGGTACCTCTGGCATACTATGGGAAACCCTTTCAATGAACGGTGGAGTTTTTCCGTTTGTCACTGTTAGGTTGGAGTTGGAGGAAAACATTTGGGCAAGCATATTGGCTTTTTCCTCTGATGTTGTGGCTAAGTGATTATTTTTATCTGACTTGGTGAAGTTAGATCCAACTTTTGCAAGAGACCAAAAGGACCTAGAACTACTTGGACAATTCAGCAACCTGTTCTTTATTCTTTGATTGTATGTTTCTTTAGCGGAGTCAATAGTAATTTTGCAACTATTTCTGGCTTCTATAAATTCTGTGTGGTTTTGAGCGGTTTGTTGTCGTTTCCAAAGGTTATATGCTCTGTGTTTTTTCTGTACAGCCGTTTGACACTGGCCGTTGAACCAAGGTTTTGCATTAGCTCTACGTTTAATTGTATGTGGGATATATGCATCCATTCCAGATAAAATTACTTGTGTTATTTCATTACAGCAAATAGTGGGATCAGCTGTTTTAAAGCAAACCTCTTGCCATGGAAAATCCAGGTAAAACTGTTTTAGGTCATTCCATTTTGCCGATTTATAGTGCCACATTTTACGAGGAAGTGGTTGTTGGCTTGGTGGGATGAGCATTTCGCACTTTGTTATTATAAGTTTATGATTGGACGAACCAAGTGGAGCATCTACTTGAATTGTGTACGAGTCCGGATTTGTGCTTAGGAACAAGTCTAAAAGCTTTCAGCTCAATAAGCAGTCCTACTAGGGATTGAAAACAGGAAAATCTCTGCCAATTTCTGGACACCTGAAGCAAAGATGATCCGTTTTTTTCCTACGAATGTGCTGAAAAAAAATTTTTGGCATGCACAAAGACTAGAGAGTAATCTTTCCGCAGGCCCTTGGGAAAAATTGTGCTCCTAACATTTGCGAGAAATGGTATTTCACGCACTTGTTAGAAAAATAACTATTTTTTTTTTCAAATTTGATATGAAAAAATTTTCCGCCCTGTGGGAGAACAAACGACTATCCAATTCCACTCCAATCAAAAAGCAGTGCTTGCTCATAGAAAAAAATATTTTATTTATTTATAGGTACTCCTTCAAAATACAAAATTTGTAGTTTCAATTTTATTCTATTTTCAATTTTTTCAATCATATACAGTACAATCAAATTATAAAATGATATTATATTCTCTGTCAACTCAAAAGGCAGGGATAATAATAATAAAAAAACTGTGGTGGCGTGCCGAGGCGCTGATTCCAATCCCAACATGAAAATGCCAAAAATTGCAACGTCGCGTATAAATTGTTTTGGGACTACCACCAAGCTCTTGTCAATCGAACACAAGTGTGGTTCACTTAAATTGAACCAGATCGATCTAATCCGGTCGATCGAATTCGGCTATAGAGGGGAGTGGCATAGGCTATTTTTTATCCCGAAAAAAAAGTTCAATTGCGCGAATCTCTGATACACTGAAACGCGTATAAACAGCCCGGGGCGCTCTAGAGCAGCTCTTGAGTGCTTAAAATGCGTCACTGAACTCACTGGCAAGCAACTCTGGTATCGGATAAAAAAAAAATTTTAGAAAATCAACAAAAAAAATTTGAAAAAAAGTGTATTATTTCAAAATGTATTTTCACGCTGGCAACGCAGCTGGTCATTAGCTAGTCTAAAATAAAAAATAAGGGTCCCTATTTAAGAAAATGAATTTGATGATGGTGGCCCAAAGAAGAAATGTCAGATTTTAAATTTGATGCTAGCAACCTGTAGGGGAAAAAAGTGGCTATGATGAAGTGACATTTTCTTTTAAATGTCTCTTCAAATAAAGTCAAGAAAAAATAAAAACAATTTTGAAAAATTTCGTTTTTTTCCGGATATCTCCTGAAGTATTCGGAATATCCTAAATATCGAAGCAGCATTCTGTTAAGCATCAAATTACGCAATTCTGCTCCAATTTAACCAACCCTGTTTCTCTCACCATTTCCGAGATCCCAATGATGTGGCTCGAATTTGAAACACCCTGTACAGCCAAAATGGGACACTGTGTACCTACTGTTTGTACTTTCCTATTTAAGTAAATTATCATTAAAAAAGATATGAGGAATAGCTGCGGGCATCAAGAATAGCTAGGTATACATTCAAAATCAAAAAATATTATTGAATTTAATAAAAATAATAAATTCAGGATACACTATACCCAAGGATTTTTCAAATGACGAAGCAGTATTTTAGTTAGAAATAAACGTACAACCTTGTCTAAATTTAACAAACTCCGCATCTCTTATTGGCACAACTTCCAAGATCATCATGCAAAGGCATGAATTAAATTACTTAATTTGAAAAATCACTTACCCCGTATTTGAAAATTCCAAACTAACAACATTAAATATCCGCGTCCTTTCATTACTAACCACATACTCAATGAAATCCCCCAGGGTCATTCTTATGTTTGCCTGTCGATACACATCAATCACATCAATTTCTTTATCATCTCCTACTAATTTTAACACATCTATGTACGAGAAATTATCTGGTGGCATAATCATATCCAGTCCATCTTTATTATTGACAATGATTGGTGTGTGAAAACCTTCTATGTTTATATATTCTTCTGTCAATTCATATCCACTAAGTTTATTTATTATCTCATCAGCTGGTGTGAAATGTCGGGTTCTTAGTTCTTGAATAAAGGCTGGAGTACCTGTTTGTACTGGTTTATTTGAGGCATTTGGATCCCAGAACTCATGGCGATGTGTATTTTGAATAGGTTTATCTAGAAGGAATAACATTGCAGAATAAGACAACTTTTTTGCCTCGTTTTTTTTTCAGTAGGTACAAAAAATTAATATCATCAAACCTGTGAATATGTACTCAGTTACATAAATATAATTGGGAAAAAGTTTTGATGCTCTACTTTGTCTTTTGCAAGTAGATACATACCTACCTAGAGACATAGGTAATACCAATACTTATCTTGGTTTATTCTCTCGTTTATTCTTAGGTTACATACAAATATGGCAAAGCGATGTCACAAGTAGGTAGGTAGGCTTATCTTATGAGTATACAAATGACACTGTATTGTACAGTATTTTTGAACTTTGGACTTAACACACGTTCAAACCGGAGGTTACTAACAACTTACTCAATTTTGAGCAATTTTGTACTGTTGATAGTGCTTAAATCGCAAGAATGGCTAACTTCATAAAATAGCTCCAAGCGCATAAAAATTACAAATTTTGACAGTTGGAGCGATGTTATAACTTATTTTGAAAATCTATCTTCTGTGGTTATGATATCTCACAAAATTGGTGATTATTTCCGTGAGGTCTATGTTCGGTGTACAAAATTGTCCATATGTAAGAGAAAAAGATACTAAGCATCGGGAACAGTACAAAACAAAATCCGTTTTATAGAAAATGTGCAGGCGACAAAAGAGGGGGGGGTGTAGGGGAACTGAAAACTCTGGTGAAAACTAGATAGTAGGGTGTCCACAACGCTGTCCAAAAAATATGCTTGAGCTCTCAACTGACAAAGACATGTAGATGTTTGCCCAGAAACATGTTTTCGACAAGCTGCTCAATTATATTTTTTCTTTATAGAAACCTAAAAAATATGGAGCAAAATATGTATTGTGAGGTTAGGTTATCTATTTTCCATTATCAAAAATTGTCTTGTGTCTGTTATAATGGATATTAAATCTGCTCAGAGACAGGCAGCCAACCAGGGCAATGCAAGGTGCTCTCTTTGGTGGAATGAGATTGTGAAATGTCACAAATTACCTACAAGAAACTGCACTTCCTGCATGCTAAAAAGTGTGAGGGTGTTAAAAGTGGTTAAGTAAAATATTGGTCTAATACCTATCTCTTCAACTGAGGTAGAAATATTAGTTACTACTTGTAAATAGAACAACAATTTGTTGTTAGTTAATTATAGTCACAGGTACCTGTTTTGGATCACATCCAGATGCAGATGTCAGAGTTAAGAATATATTTGTGCTAAGACAAAAATTGCTACAGTTGTTAGGAACTTACGTATTGAAGGTCCAATAATCGGGCTACATCTGGGACAATGGTATTTATCTATTTCAATTGCCTGCCATTCTCTGAAATTACAGCATCTAAAAGTATAATTGAATAATTTTTATTGGATTTTCACCTATGGAAAAAAAATGCAGGCCCTAAAACTCTTGATTATTTACAAACTTACCTGCTGTGAAACCAATCTTTGCAAGAATCACATTGTATCATAAAAATGTCGGGATTGTAGGGCTGCCCGCAAAGGCAGTAGGACGGTTCTGATTCGGGGGGCACATTGAAATTATTTACGGAAAATGAAGTTTCGGATATTTCCATTCCAAAAAATGGATTTTGGGGATGTTGTGCCTGTAACATTTTTGACGAATATGAGGATTTTTTTTTTGTTCTCAGCAAAATTTTGTCGTTGTCAATGTTGTCACTTGTCACTGATAGGGATGGCAAAAATACATCGATATTTTGTAAATATCGATTATATTACTCAAAATATATCGATATATTACTCAAATATATCGATATATTTTAATCGATATTTTACATTCGATATATCGAAAAAATATCGATATAATCTTTTCGATATATCGGAAATTTTAAGATCATTCTTGGCTCGTGCGCATAGTTCATTTGTTGACTGCAATGAACTATAACCAAAAACTGGAATGCGAACACATATAGACGAACGTGAAGCCTAGTGCCGCTGCTGTGGAGGGGATACCTGTTTTTGTCGCACTCATTATGTTAAATGGCGGAAATTGCTTCCAACACGTATTCCAATTGATGAAACCTGTGAAGGTAAATATGACAAAACTTTCCAAAACATCATATGTCAGCGAGCAACAGAAAAAAACAACATTCCCCATCAGTTGTATTCCTTTCACACCTAGGAGGAGCTCCGGAACAGCTCCGGGGCTTCACGGGCTTATTCCTTTCGAAAAGTGCGGCTAAAATAAAACAAACGTCAGTTAGGGCATGTTCGTACCAACAGAATTAGGAAAAGAGACTTTCCGCATGATTAAGGAACGTTATTTGATGAAAGTATTGACATGAAAGGTTCAGGGAGACCTAACATTGCATAATTATTTCACTTTTCCACACTAGTGCGGAAAAGTGATATTTTCATGGCCTAAAATACGTGCAGAAAAAAAGCACTTTTTGCACATTCGTAGAAAAAAAAAAAAAATATATATACAGGGTGTCCGGAAAGTCAACGATAATACTGAAAGGGCTGATGGAACAACTCATTAGCATCCAGAAAAACATAATATGACCTTAGTAAAAAATCGATGGTTTTCGAGATAATGTCACTTTAATAAAATTCCATAAAATGGTCCTGTTGGACCAGATTTTCGAGTGTCACATTAAAATTTTCATTATTTTCAGATTCTCTATTAAGTTTTGCAATGGTGAGTAAACATTTCATTTGTCATGGAATAACATTAAAAGTCAAAGTTCAAAACATTTACTAAAAAATCTTTTTAAAGTGAATACTCCTGATACTTCACTTTAAAAAGATTTTTTAGTAAATGAAAATAATGAAAATTTTAATGTGACGCTCGAAAATCTGATCCAAGAGGGCCTTTTTAACGAATTTTATTAAAGTGACATTATCTCGAAAACTATCGATTTTTTACTAAGGTCATATTATGTTTTTCTGGATGCTAATGAGTTGTTCCATCAGCCCTTTCAGTATTATCGTTGACTTTCCGGACACCCTGTATATATATATAAAATGAAAATAATTTGGAGATATATATATATCGATATATTCAAAATATCGATCTTTTTCATTCGATATATCGAATGTATCGATATGTTATTTCGGTATATCATTATGATTCGATATATCGATATATTTTTTTATGTTGCCATCCCTAGTCACTGAAATGAAACCGAATCGTATTCAAAGGCGATTTTCAGCCTATGATTAATATCGGTAAATACCGTGGTTATTCTTTTGGTTGACAACTTTGACAGCCAAGTGTGACGTCATAGCCCCCCACCATTCAAGAATCATAACCCAAGGAACTGACCGCTGAAATGATTTGGTTATAGCAGTGTAGGATTATGTTTATTATTCTTATTTGTTTTTTCGTTTCAACAATAGTATTATGTTTAGGTACAAAAAATGGAGCTGAATCTCTCGTTAGTCTCGTTTATCGGACAGATTTTCTTTGGGGATGATCTAAACCTCGATCTAAACATGGTGAATTGCAGTGAGTGAGTGAATGTATACTTCTTTCATTGTGCCAGGCTACAACGCAACTGCAAAATCACAAAACACCAATACAAATTCCAAAAATAATAACAATAATATCAAAAAGCTGTAACCAAAAGATAAACCCAAGTCCAAAGCTGGGTTATAATCGGTTATAAGTGGTAAATACCAAAAGCAAATCAGCTGATATGTGACGTCACAACTTCCCCTACTTTGGTTAAAACCGCGACGGCGGAAATGCATTGGTTATAACCAAATAATAAGCATTCCAGGCTGAAAATCGCCTCAATTCGGTAGCTATACGACAGCTCCAGACGTACCGACTACCGAGTAAAGCCTAGTACTCATAACCGCGCAATTCGCACTTTTTTGACATTGCTTCGACAATTTGACGTTTGATTCACGCATAAAGCCTTGAACTCATAACTGCGAAATTCGCACTTTTTTGACATTGCTTCGACAATTTGACGTTTTATGCGTGCATCAAACGTCAAATTGTCGAGGCAATGTCAAAAAAGAGCGAATTTCGCAGTTATGAGTACTAGGCTTTAAACGTCAAATTGTCGAAGCAATGTCAAAAAAGAGCGAATTTCGCTGTTATGAGTACTAGACTTAAAGCTTAATTCTCACTTGCGCGCAATTCGCTCTTTTTTGACATTGGGTACATTCAGGCGGTCCCAGCGGCTAAGCTCAGCTACTCAGCAGGGACTTTATTCTCGAAACTAAGGAACAGCGTTCTCATAAGAACGATTGCTCTGTCATTGTCAGTGTTATGCCGGACGACAAAGACAAAACCTTCGTTCCAATGAGCACGCTGCTCCCCTGTTTCGAGAATAAAGTTCCTGCTGAGTGGCTGAACTAAGCCGCTGGGACCGCTTGAATGTACCCATTGCTTCGAAAATTTGACGTTTGATACAAGCATAAAACGTCAAATTGTAAAAGCAATGTCAAAAAAGAGCGAATTTCGCGCAAGTGAGAATGAGGCATTACACGTATCGAAAAATAGAATCGCTGTAGTCACAATGCGAAAATGCGATACAGTTTTCGACTCGACTGGACGAATCTGGCTGTGTTCTTTTTTTAACTGGCAGTGTAGGGGAGGTTGGGGTATTATTAGCGCAGTCCGGGAAATAGCGCAGATTCAATTTTTTGGACACCTGTGACTCTTGGCAACATAGCTTTATTGCCCAAGGAGGGGTATTGAGGAACACCGATGCATTACCAATTGTTAATGTGAACACGATCGTTTAAGATTAAAAAAATTATTTGTAAAACTACACAAGAAAAGTTTTTTTTTTGTGATTTTTTCTTCTGTAATTTAGTGGTAAGTACCCTTCTAAATTTAGTGCACTCCTAGTTACAATTAATTTATGTCCTTGTGGTCCAGAACCAAACCTATTTTTTTTCATAGTTTTGTATCAGATTGCAGTTGGCAGCTTTCCAAAAAAATGACGTAATCGGGGAAATAGCGCAGTTATCGTGTCGGGGCATTAGCGCATATGCGCTATTACCTCGATAGGTAGGTAATCCAAAGTAATTTATTTCAGATGCCACGAACGGACAAGAAAAAGAACGTAGTCAATGGGAGTTAGCAGACCTCAGAAAAGCTGTCCAAGATGTCACGTCAAACAAATTGAATTATTATTTTCTGTTTATCGGCAATTAATCCAATAATAAGTTTTATTAGTAAGGTTTTATTAATTGTCGACTGATTTTTCGGAAATAAAGAATTTAATTTTGAAAATGTTGTGTTTTATTTATAAAATCTATTGCTACTTGTTACTTTGTCATATGGGGCAATAGCGTTAGTGTGCTGCGCTATTACCTCGATAAGTAGGGGTAATAGCGCAAATACAGATTTTTCATTTTTGAATGATAAACAAAACAAAAAAAAAACTTTGCAAAGTTTTGCATTTGGGGCATGAAAGTATATGAAATTAGTAACAGATAACAAGAAAAAACCAATTTTTATCTCAAAAATCCTTTAATTTACAAGCAACGGCGCCCGCAGAATTTTTCACAGGGGGGGGGGCAAATAAACTGCTCTTGGGGGAATCGTGGAAAGCGCACCGCAGGCGGAATTTTTTTTTTGGGCCACACCCAAATTTTGCTAATTGTAATTAATATAATAAACATCTATATATATAAAACACAGTTGTGTTTTGTGGAAGCACTTATAACTCGAGAACGGCTGGACCGATATCCTTGAAATTTAAACCACGTAGTCTCTATCTAAAGGGAAGTGACATAGGCTACTTTTTATCCCGGAAAAAAATATTTTTAATTAATTAATAATTATAAACAAACTCATTCACATACATGACTCAACTTTTTTTTGTTGAGAACATGAAACAACGTTGCCACAGTTATTTGAGCTTGTGCATTCAACCGACGCGACGTAACTGTATTATTTTTTAGAGCACAAGAACGACTGGACCGATCTTCTTGGAATTTATACCACTTAGTCACTATATAAAGGGAGTAAGTATAGGCTACATTTTTTCTCGGAAAACAAAATTAATTTTTAATTAATTATAAACAAACTTATTCACATACATGACCCAACTTTATTTGACAATATGAAACAACGTTGCCACATTTATTTAAGTTTGCGCATTCAACCTACGTAACTGTATTATTTTTTTATTAAAAAATTTGAAAATTCAAATTTTCGCATTCAACTGACGTAACTGCGTATTATCTATCTATATGTCGGGTTGGTTGCAGAACATATAACTCGGGAACTGCTAGGCCGATTTTTATGATTTTTGTTATATTGGATTTGTCTGGCCCGAATTACATAACATCTATTGGAACATATAAAAAAAAAGAAAAAGAAAAACATATTTATGAAGAAAATTCACTAAATATGTATACGGCGCCATGTCTTATAACCGATACCAAGTTTGCAGCGTCAGATTGCGCGGTTTGTTCCATTTTAATTTTTGAACATTTATTGAATCACATAATTTATTGTTAGTAATCATTTTATCTTATTAAAAAACTGAATTTAATTAAGCTAATTAACGCATTAGCATTTATTGATTCTGAGGCGTTACGAAGTTCGCCGGGTCCGCTAGTTAAAAAATAAAACAATTTGGAAATACTTTTATTTCGGACGGGAAAAAAAGTTAATTCTCTGTATCTTTTGATCGGTGCACAAATTACTTTTCCTTTAAGTATTTATGTTAAAAGCCAGGGGGGGCAGATGCCCCCCCCTGCCCCGCCCACCGGGCGCCCATGTTTACAAGCGATCAAAATTTTACCTGCGCTAATACCCCGACCTCCCCTACTGATTTCTGCTGTACGGTTTTTACTGAAAATTGTCGTTTCTTTTTAACCAGTTTGCTATACCTATATTGTTGATTTTGGAACGGATTTCAGTACTGAATGAAAAAGCTAACCTAATTAAATACAGCGCCAATCAATGAACTATAACCAAAAACTGGAATGCGAACACATATTGACGAACGTGAAGCCTAGTGCCGTTGCTGCGGATGGGATACCTGTTTTTGTCGCACTCATTATGTTAAATGGCGGAAATTGCTTCCAACACGTATTCCAATTGATGAATACGTGAAGGTAAATATGACAAAACTTTCCAAAACGTCATATGTCAGTGAGCAACAGAAAAAAACAATATTCCCCTTTGTAGGGTTGACAAACTATCGAAAAAAAAACTATCGATAGTAATATCGATAGAATGGCCTACCCATCGATAATAACTATCGATTGTACTATCGATAGTTTGCTCTGACCAAAGTAACCAAATTTGTAATTAATTACGATAAACATTAACCTCCAACCTCCATCAAGTCCATCAAAGTCACTCGTCATTCCTCCTAACCGAAAAATTGGCAGCACAGCATGTCTATCCCCAAAAATAATTACAGATTTCTCAAAAAAACTACAGATTTCTTTATAATTCCCTCAATATACAGATGTTTTCATTTACCTTTGGCTACATTGGAACTATCGATATTGGTACAGGTCTATCGATACTATCGAAAATTAAAAAACCATCGATAGTATCGATATTCCTATCGATAGTTTGTTATCCCTACCCCTTTGTGGCATCTGTCTTTCATGGCTACATTTTTTTGGCAGATATGGCAATAGTTGTATTCCTTTCAAGAGCTTGAAACACTCGAGCTACTCGCTTCGGTGCTTAGTCGCCCCCGATTTGCAGGGAACATATGCGGGGTGCAACAAACACTTTTCGAAAGGAATAAGCGCGTGAAGCCCCGGAGCTGTTCCGGAGCTCCTCCTAGGTGTGAAAGGAATACAACTAATGTGTGCGCATTCCAGTTTTTGACTATAGTTCATTGGCGCCAATATATTAAAAATCTAGGAGCAACGAACGATTGAACGATAAAAACCATAGATAAAAACATAAGAAAAACAAAACAAAGCAGAACGCAACCCAATGTCATAATGAGACAAACAAAAACAAAACTAAAACAAGTGTGTATGCAAGAAGGACAAAAAACGATTCCGTCAAAAGGTGTTGTCGGAAACTACGGAATGGTTCTCGCTCCGAGTTGTCTTGCTTCGAGTACGTTCGTAACCGCTATTCCGAAAGAAGATGGAGGATTCGATTCGTATCGGACGTTCGTAATACGGAACGGAAAAAGTGTTCAATTCAATAACTGTCACTTGTCAGTTATTCATTTTGGATGGGTTCCGTTTCGAAACTTGGTTAACCGATCGGTACAACGTCGGTTGACAGTGGCTGCTGAAAAGTTCGGTTTAACGGAACGCTTTTCCAATCGAAGATGAAGAAGTGACTTTGACACTGATCACTGATATTTGAGTTGAATCAAGTAGAAACGGAAGAGCTAGAATGGCAGTTACCGAAAAACCGATGAGCGATTTCCGGTTGCCTCGGTGACATCTTTGACATAACCATGTTCAGGAACCGGTTTTTCAGGCAGGTATTACGTGCCGGTTTCTAAATAGCAAAGTCACCCCCGGGTTAAGGCATAACTCGGTGAACATTGCAACTGGACACGTTTACCCTGGAGTTAAAGTCAACCAACAGGTGACTCGCTATTAATTGTATTCCTTTCAAGAGTATAAAACACTAACGCAACTCGCTCCGGTGTGAGTCGACCCCAATTTAAGAGGAACAGTAGGTTTTGGCAGCATTGCCGTCCTTGAACTCACTCCAGATGCGCTGGCTTACGTGCACCAAATGGTTTGAGTTCGGGCTTGACCACTTCAGGTTCAAGAAACACTTTTCGAAAGGAATAAGCACGTTATTCCCTGGAGCCTGTTCCTGACCTCCGCTTATCGGCCTCGTTTTTGGTAATCGCCGCCATATTGGTGTGATACCATTTCCGACGTCATAACTAAAGCCGCTTTCTAGCTGTATGCTTCAAGCACGGTGCAGCATAGTGTTCTGTGTTTGAAACGCAAAAGTTAGCAGCTCTCGAAGCGCAGTACGGCTGGAACTCGAACACGCGCTTGAAGCATTTGCGTGCGCAAAAGCTCGATTGCCTGCTCAAAAGCGTCAGCTAGAAAGCGGCTTAGGTCGTCAGCTGTTCAAACATCCTACGTCAACGCCAGAAATAACATGCTGCCTACGTCACAAATGGTTTTTTGGTTAGGGGGGAAAGGGGGGATTTGTTACACACAAGCCTTATGAGGTTAGGCCATCCTGTAGTAGTAGTGTGTATCATCCTTGGCCGTAACCAAGGTTGGAAACGGAATGTGCTGGGGCGAGTTCAGGAATGACACACTCAGTGTGACACCACGGCTGCGTTCAGGAATGGCTACAGCCAAGCCAAAATTGGCATTTTGCGTTCGAGCTCGGCTCCAACCTACTTGTTTCGGTATTACCGGTGGAGGGGGAAAAGTAGGTTTTGGCATTAGCATTGCTGTCCTTGAACGCACCCCAGTGCGACGCACTAGCCGTTCATAAATGCTGTAGACACACCGAGTGCGCGCACTCTGTTCCGTTCAGAAAGTACTTCGTGTCACACCATAATTTTTTGGTGTGGCTGCGGTGTGGTCAATGAACGGTTGTGTCTTTATGTCAACAATGTCAACCATTCCTCACATTCATAAACCATCAAACAGACAACAATCAAGCAAAACAAAAAACCGGCATTAGCCGGTTTTCCACTAAACGGACTGTTGAGTTTGTGTTTTAAAACAAAAACAAAACTGTAATGCCGGTTTTCCACCAAACAGACAAAACAAAAACAAAACCCAAACTCAAACTTTTTCCAAACATTTTCAAGACTAGAGTGTTTTGAGACAGTTGGGGTTTTGTTTTCCCGAGAAAACAAAACTTAGTCTGCTTGATGGAAACAAGAGTTTTGTGTTTATTTCAGTTTTGCTTTTGCTTTAAAACACAAACTCAACAGTCCGTTTAGTGGAAAACCGGCATAATAAACACAAAACTCTTGTTTCCATCAAGTGGACTACGTTTTGTTTTCTCGGAGAAACAAAACTCCAACTGTCTCAAAACACGCTAGTCTTGAGAATGTTTGGGGAAAGTTTGAGTTTGGGTTTTGTTTTTGTTTTGTCTGTTTGGTGGAAAACCGGCATTAAAATTAAAGTTTTTCTCCAAAGATTTGAATTCATGCATCCTCAATGTATCAAAATAAAAGCTGTTTATTAATGCCGTTTTTCCACCAAACAGACAAAACAAAAACAAAACCCAAACTCAAACTTTTCCTAAACATTTTCAAGACTAGCGTGTTTTGAGACAGTTGGAGTTTTGTTTCCCCGAGAAAACAAAACGTAGTCCGCTTGATGGAAACAAGAGTTTTGTGTTTATCTCAGTTTTGTTTTAAAACATGTTTCAAAACATAAACTCAAAGTCCGTTCAGTGGAAAACCGGCATAATATTGCTTTTTTTCTTATACCAGTCACTCTACAGCTAGCAGTTAATGGCTTCTCAGCGTTCAGAAATTGGCTAAATCTAGGTGTTGTGTGAAACCGTGAAGGTCGTGGGACCAAAAATATCTTCAATAGTCCGACGGACCAAAAACGATATCAGCCCCATATAGTTAGCAGACAGATGATTTAATTATTAGTACCCGATCGCTTGGAAATGATAACTGATTAGGTTTATAGTTGGCAGAATCAATAATAAATTTATATTCTCTTTAGAATGGTAGGTGCAGGTGGTCTACCAGAAAGTCAGATGAAATTAGGGGTCCATTATAGAACAGAGTTTGCAACAGGAGTCTGCACAAAATGGGAAGATAAGAAAATAAGTATATTTTATGGAAAAGGTTCGGCAACGGGGAAGCGAGAAGAGGCTGAACAGCATAGGAGCAGTTTTAGAATCGAAACAGGAATAAAAAAGTTATAGGATTAGAATCAGCTGCTCTCAGACCTTTTCAGTGACTAACCCCTTATATCCTCTCGTAATAACACATAAAGACTAGAGCGAGGACTAGAGTTAAACCACAGCATTTCAAAAACAATCAGAAGGTTAACTCTAAATCCAAGCTCTAGACTCATCCATTCCACACACCTGCACGCCACCATTCAAGGGTAGAGCCGATTTGGATTGTTTTTGTATATGCTGTGGTTAAACAACAGATTGAAGAGGTAGAGCGCAGAGCTTTGAGGGTCGTGGGATTGTAAATAAAATGTTCTCCAGCATTTAGCACATTTTTATTTACAATTTACTCAGCTGTCTCTTCTTGACAGCATAATACAAAATTTTTCAGGGTAAAGTGTAAAGTACCTATAAAACTAATAAGAATATAAAAAAAATCAACTCTATTGAAAATGGGAAAAAGAAATCAAAATAAGAGCTAGATATAATAAATATAATGAAAAATAATCAATTCCTGATAAGTTTTTGGATAGGCCGCTGCAAAGGATGGGCCACAAGTCTTCCAATACACTTATGCATTCTTCTCAGATCCCTACCAACAGGAAAGAAATATCCAATACCTTTTTTATCCAAATTTTGCAATACATCAAATATTTTCTGACAATTATTACTTGTTTCCATCACTTCGTGGGTCATCATGACATCACAAAAAAAGTAAGGATTTATGAAAAGTGCTTCCAAGTTTTCATCCATTGTGATTTGGGGCAAAGTAAAAGATCTGCCATAGAAAAATACAGTACGTAAAATGTATGGTGGTTCTAATCCTGGTTTTAGAGGGCTTGGCCCAGACGGAGGCACACCTATGTCTTGCAATTTGGAAAATACAGTGTTCAAGTCAAAAATGTCTTCAGTTTCACATTCAGAAATTTCATCTAGGCATTCAATGAGGTTATTATAATTATTTGTAAATTCGGAAAGTACCTCAGCATCATTTTTCTTCATTATTATTATAGCAAACTCGTGATGAGGATTTATATTCAATTTTAATTTAATAAGGATGGAGATGGCCCTTTTAACCATACTTAAAGGTGTGTATTTTTGATTCCTTGCAATAAACGGTGTAAAGTTTTCATCTTGAGCGCTATCAATTACCAAAATTATTTTTTCAAGGATGTCACGGTTTGGTAGACTGTATTTTTGCATAATTGCTTCAATGTCCCTTCCTTCAAGCTGGTCGAAGTTCTTTAGGTATTCATATTCACCCTCGTCTTTTGGTGATACTGCAGCAGATTTAACTTTGACTTTTGTCGTGGTACTGGATGGTCCAGGTGTGTCCGAGGGTGTGTCAGATTCCACTGGATTAGTCGGTTCTGGTAGTGGTACCGCAGATTCAGATTCAGATGATGGTGTGGTCGTGGACAACTGGCTTTGTTGTTGTTCATCGTTTTCGTTTACTGTTGGAATGGTTTCGCCCTGGGTTTGTACCGCAGATTCACATTCAGATGATGGTGTGGTCGTGGACAACTGGCTTTGTTGTTGTTCATCGTTTTCGTTTACTGTTGGAATGGTTTCGCCCTGGGTTTCGCGTTGGGAGCTCGGATCGTCATTTTCAATTTCAATTGGAATAATACGTTCAGACATTATCGAGATTCAACTTCAATAATTATTAGAAAAATAAAATTTTATTATTAGTTGTGGGTGGTGGTAAACTAAAGGTTACCTAGCCGGTGTTGTTCACTTGTTTGTAGTTGTTGTTGTGTGGTGTGATGTGTAATGCGCAATGAATTGTGTGGTGTGTGTTTCTTTTAGTGATGGGCAAACTGTATCGATGTTTCAAAAACATCGATTTTTTTATTTCGATGTTCGATGTTTTTTTATTCGATATATTAGGGAACATCGATATTTTTTGCGATGTTTTTTCGATGTGTTCTTCTGTTCTGTTTAAGCTTTTAATTTTGAGAGGGCAACAGTACCCCATATTCATGCGCATATAGGTCAATTTTCGTGAAACGCTTTGAAGGTGCAAAAACAAAAGGGCACACCAGAATTGGCTAAAATTTGGCCTAAACATTCTCTGATCGATTATCTAAAGATTTGCCGAGTCAGTTTTTCCATATTTTGAGCTAAAAACTGGTTTCACTTTAGCTCATGTTTTCAAGTTCACTTTTTTAGTTTTATATCAAAATTGCTCGTTTCTACTCTATATCTGTAGGACACTTTGACAGGACAGCGCCAATCCCAAGGGCGCTTTCACAAAAATAGTTGTTATTCCTTTCACACCTAGGAGGAGCTCCGGAACAGCTCCCCGGAGCTGTTCCGCCCCGGCGTTTACGCGTTTATTACTTTCGAAAAGTGTTCGTTGCACCACGCATCTGTTCTTTTCAAATTGGGGTCGACTAACACTGGAGCGAGTAACTCGAGTGTTCCAAACTCTTGAAAGGAATAAAAATTTTAGACACGGGCCAACTCTAGAGGCGTACTACTACTAGCGTCGGGTAATGGGTAAATCATTCACGAAATCACGAATAGAGATGAGAAAGCATTCACGATGACAACCTGGTGCACTCTGCACTCTTTGATCTTTCTGCTCCGGATTCTATTTTACGAGTCGAGTCGAAATTCGTATCGATTTGTCAAAATAGCGATTCTCGATACGCAAGGCCGGGAGGCGTATTTTAAAAGTTGGCGCCCTGGGCCTATAAGGTTTGCCGCCCTATACTTTAACAAAAAATTCATTAATGAAAAAACATTTTAACAAAAAAAGAAACACTGGAAGTCAAAGTTTACTGCAGTGCATAGAATCATACGTAAAAACTCTGTCTAATGAATGTTGAACACTGGGTCATCCCTAACCATAAACCCTTTTCACGTGGCTCCGTTTTAACAAACCGCAACATACCGCTCAAATTCGAGTGGTAGGTATCCATCACGTTACTTTGCATCCGGGTTAGAAAACGGTATGTCATTTCTCTAACCGTTTTGTAACCCGGTTAGTTAAACCGGAGCCACGTGAAAAGAACTATAGGGTTTAAGTCGGCCGAGTTTTTTGACCGTGTCGGCGATGGAAAAAGAAATGATAAAATTATTAAACATTAAATATTATCAATAGTAATATAATGAGTACAATGGAAATTATCGATAATTTATGGTAAATTTACTCGAATGCATTTTTAGTGAAAAAAGAGCACGAGTGCACGAGTGCACGAGTGGCTTTTTCAGTTAAAAACTCATAAGTGCAAAATTATAGATAAATTTCCATTGCACGAGTTCCATTTTATGAGAGAATTTCATGAATCAAAAATTTAATTGAAACCATATGTGTGTGCAGGGCCGCCGCTAAGGTGTTGGCCGCCCGTGTGCAACTCAATTTTTGCCGCCCCCTTCCTACCTAGGTTTTTTCACTTTAGAGCGGGGGTGTCATGCCCAAAAACGTTTATTTTAAGCCTTCAAAAAAACATTTGGAAAATCTTTCACAGCAAAGGAGGCACTGTCCCACCTGACGAGCCGCTACTGCTACACTGCTAGGTATTACATTCGGCAATTCAGTATCAAAGCTAGATACTAAACTCTGTCTAACCAAAATTGAACGTTGAAGGTCACTTACTCATCCTTGTAACCATAAGATTCACACGTTCGGAGCTATTTTGATTTGATAACACAGTGCGCATGCAATAAAGACAGCAGCAAAAAGCCAAGTCTGTGATATATTCGAGTAAGTGACCTTCAACGTGACCGGTGCGACACCTGGAGCGCGCCCAAAGTACTTTCTGAACGCACAGAGTGCGCGCACTCGGTGTGCCTATAGCATTTATGAACGGCTAGTGCGTCGCACCGGTGTCACACTCATACTGGGTGTGTCATTCCTGAACTCGCCCCAGTTTGTTACTAGAAGTTGGACTCGGATTGTTTTTGTTGTTTCATTGCAAATTTTGTTTTCTTATAGGTCAAACTAAAAAATGCTTCCAATATTAGGTCTGTTTCTGCAGAAATCACAAACCAGTCAGAGCGAGTTTCATTGGTTTGTGATTTCTGCAGAAACAGACCTATTATTCCGAACCGATTGATTGCTAATTGCTAGAAATAAGTCCTTTTCTAGCTGAAGGGATGTACCAATAGACTCTATCCCTAATTTTATTAAAATCTGTGCAACGCTGAGGTTCTGTGCCACAGGATCATACCAGCGAGATTTAGGACTTTCCATAGAAAAATAATTCCAGTTTAGTAAAGAGAAAAAACAACAAAACGTCAATATTGTCTGTTAAGTTCATGTCGAAAGCGAGCATTCCAATTAGAGCTGGCGAGTAATATCGTTCTATTCAAAATTCGAAGCGAACGTTTCATATCTCGAATGGGATTCGCAAATTTCACCGAAAGCGCCTAATCTGATATCGTATTGTCATTTGTCAAGTGGAATCCGGTCACCCAGCCAGACTTGTACCATACTCCATCCTCAATCATGTAAATAGTCATTATTTTAAAAACAATTATTGTAGTAAACATCAGTTTACAGTCATGCAGTCAATGACAAATAATCGGAAAAAAAATCCACCGCCTAGGCCTCCACCTCCTAATTTCTCTAAATGCAGAAGTAAGTCGACTAGCCTAAATCAACAAAACCAAAGTGCAATTGGAAATCTCATTGACTTTAGTCCCCCAAGCTCTCCAAAACCAGAGAGGACAAGAAATTTTGGAGGCAGCGTCTCCAGTTCCTTCAACAGCAGCACAAGTAGTTTAGCTTCAAGTAAGAAATCTCTGGAGTTCGAACCCCTTGTCACCAATAATCTCTGGCCAATACAAGCTCGAGTTACTCACTCTTCACAAACTAGCAACAATGGGATAACTTTCCAGAGTTATCTTACACCTGGAGGTAGTCAAACAAGTGCACACGTCAAAAGTGAACCAGGCGCTCCTTCATTTTTTGTACCTACCATTATCCGCCCAAAAGCCAAAGCAAACGGTCGTCCTGACGATTCATGCACTATAACAAATTCTCCATCTGGATCACTTCCTATGCCACTTATCCCGCCCCCCAGTCCACCCAAAGATATTGGTAATGTTGAAACTCCATATGGCTTGGCTTTGTATGATTATCCTGCTACACATCCCAGTGACCTTGCTTTACAAGTAAGTAGTGAAGTAGTAGTAGGTGTAGAGTGTAGATAATTCCACAACTTTTCATTTCTTTTTTTACTATAATTTTGCTGTGCTATCTGAAATCTTATCATTCCTTTTAGTCATTAGGTACCTAATTGTGGTTTAGCAGACAAATTATTGCATCATTTTAATGCACTGCTGATATCATAAACCAGCATGTGTTCTAGAAACTACATCGAAATATGTTGCGGAAACAAAACAAGCTGAAATCACCTTTATATTTTCTATTATACATGTTTCAGCTGACATCTCTTAAGCTAGAAGAGCAAAGTCAGCAGAATCGAAAATTAATACATGGAACATTAGAGGCTAATTAAAGGCTAATTCTCGGGCTAATTAAATGCCCTAATGAGAAATTTAAGGCTCCTTAATTTTTCGCGAAAATGACTGTTCTGCTAGCTTTAACTTAAGCTAGCAGAACACAAAACAACGAAAATTGCAATTCCACTTGCACAGACATTAAAGGCTCTCGAAATACACCAATCCCAAATTTCAGGCTCTCCTCTATTAATTTAAAAGTACATGTAAAGGAACCCACTAGAATTACTGCGAATTCAGCGACATTGTTGGATTATATTTGTACAAATTCTGATGAAGGGAGAGTGAGTTGTTCAACAGTTGGTGCGGGTCTTTCCGATCATGAGGCGGTTGTGTGTGGACTGGAGGTGGAATGTGACTATGGCACAGTTAAACTGCCAAAAGAGTACAAACGACTTTACTCTACAGGTAACTTCGAGACATTTTTGAGACTCTGCGAGCAGACTGGACCGAGATTGGTAGATGTGGGAATTCTTTGTCGGGGTTGCATTCTGCTTTGTTGAGAGTTTTTTATAGATCTTTTCCGCTTAGAACCAGGAAGTGTAAGAGTAAAAAGCTGTGGATTACAAAAGGTATAAGAGTATCGGCTAGAAATATGCGTTCTTTGCATTACATTAGGAAGTTTTATTTGGGGAATGATGGTTTTATGCTTTTTTTCAACAAATATCGTAAAATATATAGGCAAGTAGTTAAAACCGCTAAGCAATTATATTTTAGAAATAGGATAGAGATGGCTGGCAACAAACAAAAGGAATCATGGAGAATTGTTAATAACTTAAGAGGAAAAAAGAATACTTCACCAATGGACTCAAATTTGACTGCCACGGAAATTAATAAATTTTATTGTTCGATTGTGGCTTCTCTTTCTAGCAAAATTAGTTCTGGGACTAACCCTAGAGAATATCTAATTCACATAAGCGTATCCGAGTCTTTTTTCTTTAAACCTACTACAATACAAGAAATCAGAGACACCTTAAAAGATGTTAAAAATAAAAATTCTGCGGGATGGGATGAGATTACGCTGAAGGTCTTTTCGCATTTGCCCGAATCGGTTCTAGAGGTGTTTGCTGATTCTGTGAATCAGTCCTTCCAATCAGGTATTTTTCCTTCCTGTCTGAAACTTGCAAGGGTCTTACCTCTTTACAAGGGTGGTGACTGCGATACACCCTCAAATTTTAGGCCAATCTCATTGTTGCCTACAATGTCTAAAGTAATAGAAAAGCTAGTCAAGGCGCGTTTAATGAGTTTTCTTAAAAAACATAGTATTCTCTGTTGTGAACAGTTTGGATTTCAGGAGTCATGTGGCACAAATGATGCAATTTTCGCATTTTTGGAGAAACTATATTTGGGATTGTGATGATGTCGCAGCAGAGGTTTTTTGTGATTTGTCAAAGGCCTTTGACTGTGTCAATCATAAAATAATATTATGTAAGCTGGAAGCTTATGGGGTGACGGGGGTAGCTCTAAAGTGGTTTGAGTCCTACTTTTCTGAACGGGCACAGAGAGTTACTTTTGATGGTGTTGATTCAGAACAACTGGCTATAAGTGCAGGGGTTCCACAAGGATCTGTTTTTTTTTGTTATTTTAGCCACTTTTTCGCTTATGTTCTGCCAGCTTAAGTTAAAGCTAGCAGAACAGTCATTTTCGCGAAACATTAAGGAGCCTTAAATTTCTCATGGGGGAATTTAATTAGCCTTAATGAGCCTTCAATGTTCCATGTATTGATTTTCGATTCTGCTGACTTTGGTCTTCCAGCTTAAGAGACGTTTTCAGCTGATTTATATTAGGGATAAGCAAATATCAAGGTTGAGCATGATTACGATTTACATTTTTTTTCTAAAAAAACAAATCTTTGAACCTTTAAATTGAATATTGATCAATAATTTCCCTGAAATTTCCCTCAAAATTGTATAAAATGAATGTGCTCTAGGTAAAATTCCCAATGAGTGCCACAAAAGAATATAAATGTGACTGCCTCTTTGCATGCTCAATTTTAGTTGCATTCCTGAAATATTGGAAACTTAGTGTTTTAGGAATCGGCAGAAATGAACATAGATAGCAATTTTACCAGAAATTTTACCTTTATTTTTTGGCTCGTTTTTTTTGTAAACTATGTTTGTTTTCAGTTGCTTTAAATAGAGCTTATGTGTGACAGGCAAGGGCAAGAAATTGAAATGTACCTAATAAATAGGTGACAAATTAATGAAACCACTGCTTGACATTCAATTCAAAATCGAATTACTTTTATGTGTAGACCAGGTGTAGGTATTTTTTATTTATGTTTTCTGTTTTATGTTAGAAACAACTTCGGAAACAGCTTGTTTGCCGAGTTATTTACTTTACCTAAGCTTTTTTCTCTTGATTTTGTTTTTCCCTCTTTTAGGAAAACAGGTACCTCTTGGTTAGTCCATTATCGATCTGCTTGAAATCATCAAAAATTAAAGAATCCTAGGTGAAACCCGAGGTGTAACCGCGGAAAATACACACTCTTCATTATTTCAACCAGATTTATATGATATAATATAATATGATTCATATCATATTTGAAAAACCTTGGAAATAAAATGGAATATACCCATTGTTCAAATTTTCTTATCAGATTAATGAAACTGTGTGCTTAACAGTTTCCGATTTTGTTTGAATTTATGTAAAACTGAGATATTTGAGTACCTATCCATAATAGGCCAGTGCAAATAATTTTGAATTTGCAAAAATTTTTATAAAGCTGCAACTATCAAAAATAGTTAGCATTAGTACTTCTAGTAAACATACCAAAAGTCCCCATTCGTCCAGTTGTTGCGTCATTAGAAAAAACAATCCGCCATCTTGAATTTCGGCACTTTTCGGAAAAAATCGTGAATAAGTCAAAAACGGTACATTCTATCGAAAAAACTTAAGAGAGGAAAATTGAATAGAATGAAAAAATGAAGGAGTAATCATAAAAACTGAATGTGTACCATAACGTAGTAACAATCTAGAATTTTTTGAATTTTTGGAAATTTAGCAAAATCAAGGGAACCAGACCATAATGCAGTTAATGCATTTTTTCAATTCAAATAAACAAATAAAATTACCTTTTAACATTTATTTAAATGAAAAAACACTGTAAAAGTGTAACCTATATATTAATTTAGTTCAACTACCCTCCTATGAACTAATAATGAGTAATCGCAGATTCAATACAATAATACTATTCAACTCAAAAAAATTGACAAGGTCAATTTTACAATGTTTTGACCAAAAGACAGGATAGGTAATAAGCAAATTTAAATTGACAATTTAATTCATACACAAAAAATCCCTTAAGGACTGGTGTTTTTGTCATTATTACAGCGACTATTTCACTAGAGTGTATTACACCGGTCATACAACTCATTGTACATTATTCCCATATGACCCGAGAGGCTTAGGAAGTGATAAGCCTTTTGGGATTATCGCGCTTGGTGGCAATATTGTTCATTTACTATTAATAATAATGAACATTAATAAAGTATCAAAGTTTAGTTCGTTGTATAACCTTTTGAATACCACTCGAAGTTTCAGGATTACCTAATACTTTAACCCGACACTCAACGTGTTACCAGCAACACCACTCCTCCTTCGGAGTCGCGGTGTTGTTGCGTAACGCGTTTCGTGACAGGTAAAAGTATTATCCTGTAATCCTGAAACCTCTTGTGGTATTACATTCGACAATAAATTCGGTATTCACCTGACAATATTGCTACCTGGACAATACCAACAACATGGTATTTCAGCGACCATTTTTTGACATTGTCAAACTGATATTTTTAATTTGAAGTTTTTTTATTTTATTTTTTTTAAATTCATATGTCATTCGCGAAATTGCCAAGCACCAAACTTTCATACCTTTCGAAAATTTTGCCGACAAATTTTTTTCTCTTGTGATATTATATATGAAAAAAATTTGCCCTAACTTTTCCAGCGACAAAACTGAACCTAGCTTAACATGACCAGCAAAATTTGTCATTTACATAGGTATCCATTAAATTATCTTACCGAATTACACTCAAGCTTTTTTTTTGTCGAAAAGGAAACTTTACTTTATAATTCGAGTTTTGTTGTATTTAGGCAATTTAACTCAAATTGCCAGGCAACAAAATTCTCATATATAATATCACAAGAGAAAAAAATTTGTCGGCAAAATTTTCGAAAGGTATGAAAGTTTGTTGCTTGGCAATTTCGCGAATGACATTTTTGACAAAATCACGACCCGTTAGGCGAGTGATTTTATCAAAAATGTCATGAGCGAAATTGCCGAAAAGCAACAAACTTGAATAAAACCTTGAGAACAAATTTGCCTACACAATTTTTTCTCGAGTGGTATTCGTCATGACTATTTCACGTGAGATTTTGAAAATAAATAGAATGCAAAATTATTAATAAAAACTTCAAATTAAAAATACCAGTTTGACAATGTCAAAAGATGGTCACTGAAATACCATGTTGTTGGTATTGTCCAGGTAGCATTATTGTCAGGTGAATACCGAATTTATTGCTGGTGGAATACACTCTAGTGAAATAGTCATCGAAATATCAAGTTTACTTTGACAAAAAAAGGCTCTACACCATTTTTAAATTCAAGCGGCAGTAAATGACATTTTAATAACCTAAATTGTAAACAAACACCAGCC